CAAAAGTTCTGGATCACATTTAAAGTTAGAGTAAATCTTTTCTATACTGACGGTGTATACACTATCATCGTTGGATTCATGACATGTGTGCAAAAGTTAAATTTCAAATTCAAATATTGCATAGTTATCAATCATCCAACGTTGATAGTGTATACACTGTCAGTGTAGGAAAGATTAATTTTTAAAGTTAACTTGTCAAAAAAAATCAATAATTCGACATTTGGTTACAATAGAAACTATAAGCAATAGTAGTAGTTCTTGATATATTATATTGGCAAAAAAAAAAAGAAGGAAAAAGAATGAAAAAATTATTTTAAAACTCATTCTTAGTATATTACCAAACAAGGGAATTTCATAAAAATGTTTAAGGGTAGTATTATCATTTTAAATGAAAAGGGAGGTACATGTAATTTTAAAAACCTTGAGGGAGATTAGTGAAATTGTCAAAGATTTCAAGGGAGGTTTCTGAAATTATCCATAGAAATTGCAAGACAACCTGTCATAAAGAAATACTAACGTGTACGGTTGCTTAAGGATATGAGCTGCTTCCCAATTTAATGTTTCTCTTTGGCAAGAAAATTAACGATGCATGCATGCTAGTTATAATTCTTTGAAAATAGTGGTCAGAAATTTTTCTTGCCAATCTGCAGAGCTGCTCTTCGTGGTAAGAGCTGCTCATGTGGTTTTGCAGCTTGCACATGACTGAAGCCATCAAAGTTAGGCGGTAAGTTAGGAGTGAAACCGTGGACACTTTTGTTTTTTAATCACTAGATTTGAAGTCAATTCATTCAAGAAACACTATAAATACCATACTCAGGAATTGTGCCAAAATCACCCAAAAATGAGGAAAATGTCCTATTCAACAATGCTTCAATTTGCTTTCCTCCTCCTCTGTTCCATCTCGTGGGCTTCTGCTTCTCATCCTTCGCGCGGAGATTTTGTTCAGTGCCTTTTGAATTATACTGATAGCCCCTCTTATTTTGCAAAAGCAATATACACCCAAAACAGCTCTTCTTTCACATCAGTCTTGGACAATTACATCCATAATTTACGCTTCCTTTTACCCGAAGTTCCAAAGCCCCTAGTCATTATCACTGCTTTGACTGAAAATCAGATTCAAACAGCAATATTTTGCTCTAAGAAGTACCGCTTACAAATGAGAATTCGAAGCGGTGGCCATGACTTTGAGGGCAGCTCCTACACTTCTAACGTCCCATTTTTCGTCCTTGACATGTCGAACTTTCGTTCAATCTCCATAGATGTTAAAGGTCAAACCGCATGGGTTGGAGCTGGAGCAACCGTTGGGGAAGTATACTACAGCATTTATGAGGCGAATAGCACTCTGGGATTTCCAGCTGCCTACTGCCCTACTGTTGGCATTGGTGGGCACATCAGTGGCGGAGGCTATGGTCCATTGGTAAGGCAATTTGGCCTGGCCGCGGACAATGTCATCGATGCTCGTGTCATCGATGCAAACGGAACAGTTCTCGACAGAAAGAGCATGGGTGAGGATCTCTTTTGGGCTATTAGAGGTGGGGGCGGTGCTAGTTTTGCTGCCATTCTTGGATACAAGTTGAAATTGGTTGAAATTCCAGAGAAAGTTACTGTATTTTCCATCAACAGAACCTGGGAACAAAATGCAACTCAACTTCTATACAAGTGGCAATATATTGCCCCAAAGCTACCACTAAACCTTGTTATCACACCCCAAATTGTCAGTATCAATTCAAATCAAACAGGTAAGGGAACTGTACAAGTTACATTTGTGTCTGTTTTCCGTGGCGAAGTTGATGAACTGCTTTCAATCATGACCCAACAATTTCCTGAGTTGGGGTTGAAGAAAGAGGACTGCACCGAAATGCTATGGATCCAATATTTTGCTTATGCCAGCGGTCTACCAACTAGTAACATTACAGAGTCCCTGACCAGCAGAGTCTCTTCAGCTAAACTGTATTATAAGGCTAAATCCGATTTCGTCAAAGAGCCTATCCCTGAAAAAGGGATTGAAGAGATATTGGCAAAACTTAATGAATTACCTCCCTTTATGGGAATGCTGGAGTGGAATCATTTTGGAGGAGGGGTAATGGAAACAATTCCCGAATCAGCAACTCCATTCCCACATAGAGGAAATTTGTACCTCATGTGTGAAGGGGTTTCGTGGGATGAACAAGTGGTGTCCAAGCAGCGTATTGATTGGCTGAGAAAGCTTTACAAGGTCATTGGAAAATATGTTCCTAACAATCCAAGAGCTGCCTATGCTAACAGTCGGGACCTCGATTTGGGTGTGAATAACAAAGGTATAACAAGTGTTGAAAAAGCAAGGATCTGGGGTGCTCCATATTTCAAGAATAATTTTGATAGATTGGTCCAAGTGAAAACCAAAGTTGATCCTTATAATTTCTTCAAGAATGAACAGAGTATCCCAATTTCTCAATGATCATTACGGTTGAAGAAGAAAAACGTTCGTATCTTAGTGTATCCAGGAGATGAAGAATTATGATTGTTGTATTTGTTTTAGTGTTGTGTTTTTTTTTACTCAACGATGGGGGATGCCAGCAAAAATAAAATCCAACAGCTACTTGTGATCGTTGAATCTTGTGTTCCTTTAATAATAAATTACAGGCCCATATTTCGATTAAGATTACTAAAATCCCAAAGTGTATTTGTAGAAGTTTTACTTGTACTTTCAGCATGTCATTAGGGATACAATTTAGAAGTAAATTGTTGTTTCACTGATCAAACAAGCCAATTAACTTCACCATACCAAAATAGTTTTGGTCAAAATTGATCAGATTTATGGCTTTGCTGCAAATTGCAATACGATACTTTTCAGCATACCAAAGTAGCTTTGGTCAAGATTAAAATTTTCACCTAAGTGGTTCTAACATTCTATAGCTGTAGCTTTACTAGAACGGATTTATTATGGTCTTCATGAACCCATCTAATCAAGCAATCTAAAGGGCTTTATATGTTTATCACTGGTCAAGATGCCCATTCAAAGCACTCTGTTCTTGGCAGCTGATAATTGAACTACACTATCAAATTTATCGTTATCCAATTTTTAGCAATTTGTTAATCGCTTTCACCATTGTGATTTACCTGTGAGAGCTAGAAAGGGGCTATGATTTTCAAGAAACACAATTAGCAAATCTTTTTCAATTTAGAGAATCTTAGACTTGACAATTCATTGTAATGGAAATGGCAAGATATTTTCGACATCTACCACCAGTTAATTTCGCATTGTCCCTTTCCTTTCTGTGTGATCAAACTAAAAGAGAAAATTAAACAAAACCTGTGTAGACACCAATACATGTTAGAAACTTTCACCGAATATATTATACTCCGAGAACCGTTGAGCCTTGGTCCAATGGTCAGGGGGAATCCCTTTAAAACTCTCTTGTACATTAAGTCGATAGTTCAAACCCCACTTAGTGTATCACACAAGAAATATAGCGCTTCTTATTCTTAAAAAATTCAGAGGGTATATATAGTATTGCATTTGTTTGGTCTGGTAATTCATCCCACAACCTCTATAAAAGTCTCTTTAGGCTCCCTTCCTCCTCTTTAGGCTCCCTTCCTTCGTAGAGTAGGAATAGTTTAAATAGTTGGCGTTGTCGACCCAAAAATATATATATATATATATATATATTTATTTATTTATATATATATTATACTGAGAGACAAAAGGTAGAGCTGGCAAATTAAATCCAAATCCTACAACCCACCCAAGTAAATCAATTAGCAAAATCCAAACCCACTAATCCAAAAGGTTGGGTTAGGTCAATTTAGTCATGGAAAAGTTTTGAGTTGGGGATTAGAAACCAACATAGTTTTTGGGCGGGTGAGATTTTTCATTGAGCATCCAAATCACACAAACCAGTCAAATACAGAATCCAAGTGTTTTTATAAGATTACACATCAATAGCCATTAGATGCCAACGGAAACGACCCTTAGTAGCAATTTCTGTCCCATTCTTTTATCACAATCGGAATTCGATTTTCCTAATTTTATTCTTTATCAAAACATTTATTTACATTTCTTTTTTTTTTTTTAACCATTCTTCTCCCTCACCAAAACACAAGGCAGCCATGGCCATGGAGTTTCAAGGCTGTTGCAAGAATATTGTCTTTTCGCAAGGCCAGAATTGTGCCACAAAAACTTTTTTGCAGCACAAAAGCCTTTTTGCGGCACAAAAGCGATAGAATTCAATTGTCACAAAAATAGCCGTTAAAAAAGAAAATGATGCAATTTTTCGATGTATTGCATGTAGGAATGTACGCGAGCCGAGCTACTCGCGAGTAGTTCGGTCAATGGCTTGACTTGAACTCGGTTTGACCGAGTTTGAGCAGAGTCTCGAGCTACTCGATTGTTATTTGAGTCGAGTTTCGAGCCAATATTTTGAGACTCGTGGCTTGTCGAGCTACTCGTCAAGTCGGGGTGTATTTAAATAATATATATATTATAATTATAAAATGACCATTATGGGTATAATTTATATTGAATTTATAATATAATATATTCTTCTTTATAATAAAATTCCATAAGGGCAGAAGTGTACATTTTTTGAGTCGAATCAAGAAGCTTGATTAAATTTAACTTGATAAGACTTGCTTAAAAGTCGAACCTTATCGAGTCGAGTCTCGAGTTTAAAGGGAGCTTCTCGAGTCAAATCTCGAGTATCGATTTTTTGGACTCGACCGAGCTCGACCCGAGCTCAAGCCTAGGTACATATGAGTCGAGTCTAGCTCAAGTATAGCAATACTCGAACTCGATTTGGCTCGATTACATTCCTAATTGCATGTACTTGCATCGCTTTTTGCAACGCTAGTTTGAGTGCCGCCATTGTACTTGCGGCACAAAAAATGTGCCGTAAAATATCCCTATAACGTTATCGCGACATAAAATTGTGTCACAAAAAATCACTAATAAAAGTCAAAAATCAATTTTTTGATGGTACAATATTTATCCCGCTCAAATATACTAAAATTGAATATCAAAATAAAATTAAAGTTCCACAGTACACTAGAACAAAGTATCATACATTGCTTCAGTCAAATTTTACAAACTTTATCGCATGTCATCATTTTGAAAAGCAAACAAAAAAGGATGAACTTCCTTGTAATGTAATAAGTTCATTACAATGACAAGATATTTCACATATCCCCAGAAGTGCTTGTCTTGAAAAGCACAAATTCATCATACGTCTCTCAAAAGTATCTTCACGTCTCAAAATCCTGAAATAACACAAAAATATAGTCATTACCATGCTTGAACACTAGAGTGTAAAAAGGTCAGCAATCAATTCACTTCCTAATTTGGGAAAGTAACCAACATCCACAACCCAATGGAACCACATTCCATAAAATTGCAAGGTGAGAGATGAAGAATTTAAGCAAGTCATTTGCAAGTAGTCCTGGTCATTTTCCAGAAACTTTTCCACTATCTCAAGCAAGTCATTTGCGAGTAGTCCTACTCCTTTTCTTCTTTGTATGGTGGTTCTAGCATAACAAAAGACTAATCAATTCAATATCAACAAGGAACTCGTGCACAAATAGTAGTCATCAAATTATTAAAATATTATTTAATTAATCATTTTTTGCTCAAGAAACAAGAATCTGAAAAGCTCTTCCAGGTGAGACAATAATGAAAAAAAGTCTTAAACAGAAATGATAGACATCTATGTTATGGGCACCTAGCAAACTTTATGTCCATACCCTTCTTGTTGCAATCCTTCACTTTCTCCTTTAGGCTTTTGTGCTGCAGCTTAAAATCCCTGGCCATCCAAATTCCCAATTATCCATAAATATTAGGAACAAATTAAAAAGCAAGGTACGCAACACAATTTCATCTGAGTTTGTGGACTAAAGTTAACCTGGGGTAATTGTTTCTTCAATATTCAATTATGACTATCCATACTTGACAAAATGTAATGTTTTTGATGCCTTGGAATGATTACTAACAACTGCTGCTACGTGGGGCTTTCTTTCTCCATGAATGTTTGATATGTAAGAAGTTGCTTACATAATACTTAAAAAAAATAACCAAACAAAAGGAAGACATGTACTGTTACTTGGGTGGTTCATACCATTCCAAGCATTTCAATCTCTTAAGCTGACAAATGGTATTGCAAATCCAGGTAAAATATGGCATCCATCTTAATTTGTTTTTACATATGTAGTGATGCAAGTAGTTTTAGATACACAAGACAATTGAATAGATGCTCACAGTGACAGTTGAGAGGAATTGCTATCAGTAGAAACACCTTGTCTAAGAAAGCCTGGAGCTACCAATATTCTGTTTTAGTAGACACCCATGAAGTTCTTCAATAGTTGCTTGTTAAAATACTTAAGCTACTAATGCTCTACTTCAAAACTTTAACCATGTACAAAATGAAGTAAATGCAAGTATTATTCAAATGAAGCAAACATTTGAATAAATCTACAAAACATAATATGCTTGGTTTTACATTGAGAAATATTAAACATCTTTAAGTAATGATGCACAATCCAACAGAAGACTTTCTAGAAGATAAACTCCAGCTTGATTCACATGCACAAAGTAGAAAAAGAAAAGGCAATTTTAACAAAACAGAACACATCAAAAAGGCACAACACCTAGAAATATTTAACAAAACAGAAATTGACAATGAATTTCTGGAAAACCATCTTCCAATTAATAGGAATGGAAAAGAACGAAATACTGAAGATTTAAGCTAATCATAATCCTTCAAAAAAAGAACATAAAAAAGTATGAAATTACATCATTCGTTCCTTATGAAAAAAAAAACAGTAGCTTAGAATTAACCGGTAACTTGATTAGTTCAATTGATCAATAATCCATAACTAGAAGCTAGTAGTATTCGAACCTTTTTAAATCAAATAGAATTTCATGAACAGAATTACCCGAAGATGTCTGCAATATCTGATTCCAATGCAGAGACATTAAAATGAATAGGAATTCCCAGAGAAATTTCTTCATTTTGAGATGTCTGCTTTTGTTTTCTGCTCAAAATAAAGTAATAAAGGTTAGAAATTCAATTATCACACATTTAAGCTTAGTCAAATTAATTAACCAAATGATGTATCAAACTTCTTTAACTCATGATGCATGATCAACAAAGGTTATCCAGAAGATGAAATTTAACTTACTTCAGATCCGTAAAGAAGTAAAAGGAAAGGCAACATCAACAAAATATAACACACAAACCACGGCATGACACCTAGAAATACATAACTCCAAAATTAATGTGAAATAACGATTAATACTATAGGCAAAACAATCCGCTGTTCAATCTAGTTCTTCACTAAACCATAAATGAGTCAAAAGCTCAATCATATCATGATAACAAACACATTGTCAGAAGCTAATGGAGTATGGTACAATGCTGATCAAATTTTGAAATTGTCCAAAATTACCACAAGTACCTCTCCGAAAATAAGGTGAAATATTTCAGAAACTCCAGTACAATTTTGAAAAAAAAGATCAAATAAATGAGAACCCCCTGATAAAAAAAAATGACATTATTAAAATCGATTGCTTAGCTTAAAAAATGCATTCATCATTCAATACCTAATCAAAGCAAAAGCAGAAACTTTTTGAACTAGTATATCACGTGAAGTTAACATGATAGTGAAGACATACTTAAATGCTCTGGCTGGAAATTTGGGAATAGGTCCACTAAGATTGTTGCCAAGTACCTGAAAGTGACAGTGACTTCATGAGAGCAGAACGCATTTTCATTCAAGCTTTGAAAAGAAGTCTTCCAGAAGGAAAGTTTCTTGGAAAGCCAAAAATTTCAGATTCCATGCTACTTCTTTCAAAGACCCTGAGATACAACAGGTACTGGAGAATACCCAATAAAAAATCAGGTATATGACCAAAGAACTTGTTACTGGCAAGATTTTATTTCTCAAGGTTTGAGAGATTACCCATTTCTAGAGGAATATGACCTGAAATGCTATTGTTTTGCAACAACCTACATGAGGGGGAAAAAACTGTTAAAATAACAATTAGGCATTAAAAGAATGAGTAGCTGAAACACATTATTGGACTTCCAAAGTTCCATTTTGCTGTTCAGAGTACAAATGATCTTGCCACTAATGGCCACTTTACTTGGTTAACAAGCTGTTCACCAAAAGCAAAGAAAACCCAAGCAGCCAGCATAAAGATGCGAAACTTCAAACAACGTAGTTAATGGAGTATACCATCACAGCTAGAAGGTTAATATTGAAATTCTTGTAACTTTGATGGATCCAAGTGGTTAGAAAAAAGGGCATTCAAGTTAATTCCGGATTTTCTTACTGATTACTATTGAGATACTCCTTAATTTTGTTCTAATTTTCTCTAGCTAATGCTTAATTAGTAACATGAAAAAGGGAGGAAGCTAATCAAAATAAATCTCAAGAGCACCTAAACTTAGTTATCTACTCAGAGATGCATATGCAGCAGCCGTCTTTTTCACAATAACCAGACTAGACAAAAAGATCAGCTTTTTCTGTTGATCCATTTCCCTTTGAGATGTCTCATGAATCATAATGGTGACATACAAAGGTATTGATTCTATAGGAACCAATTTATCCAAAGTAGAAGAAAACAATGAATCATCTATTATATACCTTGTTTCGGCAGTGGAAAAATCTCTTCAAAATCATCCATAGGAGAAGGAAGCATTTTATACAACTTCTAAAACTATTTAGCCCCAATCCAAATCCAAAACGTGTCTTTGGGAAAAATTTAGTAAAAATGCAGTGCAAATAAAAAAGATACGAACAAAAATGTGGTAAAATAACAAATACCATAGAAACCTATTGATACATAGCACTCACTAAAAAAAAAAAAAAAAGATCCACAACATCAAACAAAATTTTAGTTCAAATCCTAAAACAAACTCCAGATATGTGCACTAAAGTACAACGCATTTTGAAAACAGAGCTTCCAAAATTCTACCTTAAATAAGATTAAATCTCAGATAAATTTAAAAAAACTACCATTAAAATCTAAAGATTACAAGGTTTTGAAAAGTTGAGTAATTCTCCATGAATACAAAAAGAAATTGCATACAAATATCAAGCTGTAGTCGGAAAAAAAAAAAGGAGAGAAAATCAAAGGTTAATTACCTCATATTTAGATCGACAGAGCTCCGACAAAGACTCGAAGAAAATTCTGCAGCAATTTCTCTCAAGAGCAAAGCTAGGGTTTCATCCGGTGTAGAACAAAATTACTCGGAGAAATGAGTCGCGCTCGGTCGATCCCATGCCTTCACTTCACGAACGACGACCTGAAAATGAACAAAATTTACGGTGAATTTCTCGAAAATGTTGCTGAAATTGATCGTAACTGAGGAAAATCCATGACGAGATTGGGATTTAGCCATAGCTAGGTATTAATCTAGCAAATTTTGTCTTCAAGGCCGATGGAGGAGAAGGCTAGCAAATAGAGAGAGAGAGAGAGAGAGAGAGAGAGAGAGAGAGAGTGACTCATTGATTGTCACTGTTCAATTAAGATTTTAGAAAGAGAACGAAAGAGGGAATGCTTGGGATTGGGGGAAAGAAACGGAGGAGATAATGATGTGTATTTTGCCATTTTTCTTTTCTGCACTTCAGCTAACAAAGTACTGCTATTAGGCAACTTAATGCAGTACAATACATATATAAAAAGTACACCGTTTCATAGTGCCGTGAAGAACTCGGGACTGTAATGAATTTTGCAGCACAATTCGAATTACCCACCACGCTCTCTCCTTGCGAGCGGCATCCCATTATTGACTGCCCTCTTCAGCCGGTGGAGTGTATCCTTGAACTTGAGACAAGATCAAACCTTTAAACACTGAGAATGGAAGGAAACCTCACCCAGACAAGAATAAAACTCATTTCACCTCAAATCAAAGCCCACCAAACCGACCAAAAACTTCATGCTTTTCCTTCCAGAAGTTTAGACAACGAAATATATTCCGGACCAAATATAAAAATTGCATCCGATTCATTGACAGTTAAAATTTAGAAGTCTACTTCTTTCTTTCGTTATATTGGCCGGCTAAAAGTACAAATTGTCAATGAAAATTCCAAACCTTTCTAGATTCATAATTTTCCAGCGCGCATAATTTCGCAGTTAACATAATCTTACCTGCTAATTAACTTTCACTACATTGGGAGAAAATACTAGCTAGTATAAATAGCATCTCAACTCTCTTGAGTCCTGTCCACAAAAATGAAGAAACCAACCACCATCTTCCTGCAATTTTCTTTTCTCATCTTCTTTTCCATTTTATCAACAGCTTCAGCCGATATCCACAAACACTTTGGCAGCTGCTTTATCCACAATTCCAAACACCCGATTGATATTTCAAAAATCGTCTCAACTCCCAAGTGTTCTTCTTACCAGTCAACCTTAGACTTGCATGCACAAAACCTGCGATTCACGTTACCAAAAACCCCAAAGCCTGTAGCTATAATCAACCCAGAAAATGAATCACATATTCAAACAGCAATTTATTGCTCCAAAAAGCATGGATTGCAAATGCGAATATTAAGTGGAGGCCATGACTTTGAAGGTCGTTCATATGTTGCGGATGTCCCATTTTTTATCCTCAACATGTTCTACTTTCGATCAATCTCGATCGATGCCAAAAGCCAAACTGCTTGGGTTGGAGCCGCTGCAACTCTTGGCGAAACATACTATGCTATTACCCAATTTAATAGCTCCCTTGCTTTCCCTGCCGGCTATTGCCCTACTATCGCTTTTGGTGGGCACGTCAGCGGAGGCGGGCACGGCCCGCTAGTTAGGAAATATGGTCTTGCAGGTGATAACGTCATTGATGCTCGAATAATTGATGCAAGCGGAAGAGTTCTCGATAGAGAATCAATGGGCGAGGATCTATTCTGGGCCATTAGAGGGGGAACAGGAGCTAGTTTTGGTGTAATTCTCGCATACAAAATAAAACTAGTTGAGGTTCCAAAGAAATTCACTGCATTCAGTCTGACCAGAACATTGCAGCAAAATGCAACAAAATTAGTCCATCAATGGCAATCTGTTGCCCCAAAGTTGCCTGCAGATCTACTTATTTCACTTCAGTTGACCACTGTCAAATCCAGCCGAACAGGCAAGAGTACTGTAGCAGCTACTTTTGTTTCTGCTTTTCGGGGTGGAGTTGATGAGCTACTGTACATAATGCAAGAAAATTTCCCAGAGTTGGGATTGGTTAAGGGGGATTGCACTGAATTAAGTTGGGTCGAATATATCGCTTTCCATTTTGGCTTGCCAAAAGAATCAACATATGATATGTTGCTAGGCAAAATCACTGCACTACCAAAAGATTACTTCAAAGCCAAATCAGACCTTGTTCAACGCCCCATTCCTGAAGAGGGGCTTGAAAAGATATGGGATCTTATGAAGAAGATGGAATCCCCGCCCGGGCGAATGGAATGGATCCCTTTTGGAGCAAGAATGGATGAGATTCCTGAATCAGAAATTCCATTCCCGCACAGAGCTGGAAACTTATTCTTAGTGTTCAAAACAACGAGTGTAGAATGGAATTCAACCAGGGTAGAATTGATGCAAGAACGTATCGCTTGGTTGAGAAAACTCCATGCAGTTTTTGGAAAGTATGTTGCCAAGAATCCAAGAGGTGCATATGTTAACTATAAGGATCTTGATTTGGGAGTGAATAACGTGGGCAAAACAAGTGTTGAAAAAGCAAGGATCTGGGGTGCTCCATATTTCAAGAACAATTTTGATAGATTGGTCCAAGTGAAAACCAAAGTTGATCCTTATAATTTCTTCAAGAATGAACAGAGCATCCCAATTTCTCAATGATCATTATGGTTGAAGAAGAAAAACGTTTGGTATCTTAGTGTATCCAGGAGATGAAGAATTATGATTGTTTTATTTGTTTAAGTGTTGTGTTTTTTTTTTCCTTAACGACGAAGGAAGCCAGCAAAAATAAAATCCAACAGCTACTTGTGGTTGTTGATTCTTGTGTTCCTTTAATAACAAATTACAGGCCCATATTTCGATTAAGATTACTAAAATCCCAAAAAGTGTATTTGTAGAAGTTTTACTTGTACTCTTAGCATGTCATTAGGGATACAATTTAGAAGAAATTTGTTGTTTCACTGATCAATCAAACCAATTAACTTCACCATATGAAAATAGTTTTGGTCAAAATTGATCAGATTTATGACTTTGTTGCAAATTGCAATACGATACTTTTCAGCGCACCAAAATGGTTTTGGTCAAAATTAAAATTTTCACCTAAGTGGTTCTAACATTCTATAGCTGTAGCTTCACTGGAACGGATTTATTATGGTCTTCATGAATCCATCTAATCATCAAGCAATCTAATAGAGAAGGAAATGGGTGTTAGTCACAACTTGGCAAATAGAGCTGTTAAGTCAATCGAGTAGTTCGAAAGCTCGTTAGAACTCGACTCGTTAAGCCTCGAGCTCGATTCATTAATTTTGGTTAACGAGTCGAGCTCGAGCTCGAAACATGCTCGTTTAGTTAGCGAGCCGAGTAAGCTCGGCTCGTTTGATACTCGAGTAGCTCGTTAGAACTCGTTAATGAAGGGCATATTTGTCATTTTAGAAATCAAAATTATAAAAATTAAAAATTATAAGTTTTTATTAAGGTTAATTTGCACGAACTCGAGCTCTAGCACGTGAAGCTCGACTCGTTTGTGATAAACGAGTCGAGCTCGAGTTCGAGCCACATGTACATTTAACGAACCGAGTTCGAACACATTTTAAAACTCGTTTTCCTAACGAGCTCGAGTCGAGCTCGGCTCGAATTAAAATCGAGTTGAGCTCGACAGCCAAATACTCGACTCGATTAACACCTCTGTTGGCAAACCAATTTAGTCCCACTTTTTTACAATTAACACCAATAATTAAATATGAGTAGTGTCTATCAATTAATGCAATATTTGGTTCAAAATAAAGGAGAGAATATCCACAAAATTACTAACAAACTACACCTTATCAAGATTCTCATTTTATCGTGTTTGACTTGGAAGAATTTTTTATTAGCTTCATTTAGTTGGAAGAACTTTCTCTTAGTTATCGTATCGGTCCATGATTGCGATCGATGCATGCGGACCTCTACTGCGTAAACTCTCTGCCACCTGATCTCTTACCGCTTATCCTCTTTCGTCAAGCGGCCTAAGTTTCGATTCCACGGATAATATGCTTTTTGATGTACTTCGGAAACAAAATCTTGCTGCAGCATTTGGAACCCGGTACGTTAATTTGATCCCAAAGAAAAAGTAAGTAAATCAATAAAAGGTGCAAGAGCCCCTAAATTTAATTGTCTGGCCAATGACAATTGACCTATAATTACCCAATAACAGTATAATATATGTTAAAAATATTATATGTGCATAGTAATATATGTGCGTAGTAAATAAAGTCAAAACATAATAAACATTCAAATTTTGCATGAAGACACACAAGCAATTATGTCAAAATTTTCTTCTTGACTATGTGTTAATTACGTACCATCCATCCTTTTCTTGACTGTGTATTAATTAGGACTTTGGGGGGCCACGACCGTCTTGCAATCCAACCATATGATTGCTTGTGTACTTAAACAAGTAGTCGACGCCAACTAAATTATTCCCCCTTGAAAAAAAGCGTTGACTTTTTCCAAAATTTGTTGTATTTGATTAAGTGTTGTGTTTCCTTTTTTTTCTTATCGATGTGGGAAGCCAGCAAAAATTGAAATCCAACAGCAATTCCGTTCCCACATAGAGGAAATGTGTACATCATGTGTGAAGGGGTTTCGTGGGATGAACAAGTGGTGTCCAAGCAGCGTATTAATTGGCTGAGAAACCTGCATAGACACCAATACATGTTAGAAACTTTCACCGAATATATTATACTCCGAGAACCATTGAGCCTTGGTCCAATGGTAAGGGAGAATCCCTTTAAATCTCTCTTGTACATTAAGTCGATAGTTCAAACCCCACTTAGTGTATCACAAAAGAAATATAGCGCTTCTTGTTCTTAAAAAATTCAGAGGGTATAGTATTGTATTTTTCTGGTCTGGTAATTCATCCCGCAACCTCTATAAAAGCCTCTTTAGGCTCCCTTTCTTCGTAGAGTAGGAATAGTTTAAATAGTTGGCGTTGCCGACCAAAAAATATATATATATATATATATATATATATATTATACTGAGAGACAAATTAAATTCAAACCCAAGCAAATCAAACACAAAATTCAAACCCACTAATCTAAAGGGTTGGATTGGGTCAGTTCACTCATGGAAAAGTTTTGAGTTGGGGATTAGAAACCAACATAATTTTTGGGTGGGTGAGATTGTTCATTGAGCAACCAAATCACACAAACAAGTCAAATACAGAATCCAAGTGTTCCTATAAGATTACACGTCAATAGCCATTAGCTGCCAACGGAAACGACCCTTGCGTAATAGCAATTTTTTTCCCATTCTTTAATCACAATCGGAATTTGATTTTCCTAATTTTATTCTTTATCCAAACATTGACATTCATTTCTTTTCTTTTTTATTTTTTTTTAACCATTCTTCTCCCTCACCAAAACACAAGGCAGCCATGGCCATGGAGTTTCAAGGCTGTTGGCTACCATTATTGACTGCCACCTTCAGGCGGTGGGTTTTGACAAAGGCCATATCCTTGAATTTGAAATAATTTCAAACCTTTAAACACTGAAAATGGTAAGGAAACTTCACCCAAATAACCATAAACTCATTGCTCCCTTCCCTCTCCATTTCACCTCAAATCAAAGCCACCAAACCAACCAAAAACACAAGAAAATATTCAAAAGCAAACAAATCTCACAGACACAGGTAGAAAACCTAAAGATGCAGCATATTTGCATGATTTTTTTTTTTTTTTTAACAAAAAGGAACTCAAAACTATTTTTAAGTCAAATTTCGTTCAAAGTGGATCCTAATCCCTTGAAAGAATGTGAAAGTTGAAAGTTGGAAGTGAATGGTAAGGTACGTTGGGTAACGGTTGTGTTATGGGTTAGAGTTGATCCAATTAAACGCAGTCCAACATTAATCCACTTCATTGATGGGCTGGCTTAGTAGTTCAGATGAAAATAACCACTGCTTTGGTGGAGGCTCTAGGAAAACTCAAAAACTTCTGTGAAAGTTCCGGCAATCCTTCAAATGTAAACTGATCTTTCTGCCTCCCAATGGCACCAGGGAAATATAATCTTCCCCAGTAGGCGGAAAAGTTTTCGTCGTAGAAATCAGCATAGTTTCTCCAAAACAACAGCATTCTTCAGAAGGAATTTCACCAGCTGAATCACATAAGGCCCTATTGTGTATCAAAAATGCAGACAATCTTGAGATGGTGCATGAAAGGTGGCATCACTTTAATAGTTCAACCACAAATACATAAAATTCAAGATATTACAAAAGAAAATAGAACAGCATACCTTGTATACAAAGCCCCGCTCAGAGTAGCTATGCATGATTAAAATTTGTAGAGATCGCAAATTTTTCAATAACAAAGAAATCCTAGCGTTGCCAGTTTGTCAAAGCAAGCTTAAGCACTAGTTTTTCTTCTCCCATTTGAAAGATTGGCAAGGTACATTTGTAAACTTCCGTACGCTCAAACCCTGGCAAAAACTTAAAAGCACAAACAACTTGAACTTAAATCATAGAATATCAAAAGGTTCATGAATGAAATCCAAAATGTATAGCATTTCAATCTTGAAAATCTGCCTAATGGAAGAAGCACTTCTTTTCTCGCACTGTATTTGAATGGTCAATATTCTACAGGAAAAATTTTACCTATAGAGCTAATCGTTTGGCAAATTTAGTAATTCCTGAAACGTACAAATCAGAAATTAAGTCTAAAATACATAAGTGATCATAACTTTTTTTGCAGATGGCATCTTGTTCTCTTGCAAAAGATGTGATCAGCAGATGAGTTATGCTGTTTTTTCACCTTAATATGCCATCAATCTTTCATAAATAAGGACTTGAATTACTAAAATAGTGCATGCTTCTAAAGATTATGCTATAATATTATTTAATATTTCCTACAAAAATTTTAATTTGCATAATGCAAGTTTCTTCAGTGAGGGCATAAATTAAAGTTCTCTTATGTATCGGCACCAATTAAGCATCACTGTGGTTACAATATAGAGAAGGTATGAGGAAAATCCCATATGTAATTATATAACTATAGGTTAATTTATATGTTAGTTATTTTTCCCATTATTTGAGCGGGAAAAATTGTAATGTTGTTCATATGCAGTGCCTTTGTATTAATGTTAAAGTTGATAGTAATCTTGTATTCTTATTTTAAAAAATTAAACAAATATCTATTTTTCACAAAAATACAGATCACTTGAAGATTTGGATTTAGTCAAAATCCTGATTTTTGAGAAATTGAATCAAAATAATTAAACGCTAAACACAAGTTTCAAATAAAGGGAAAAAATTAAGGGTAAATTACTTATAATCTCCCTATAATTTTATATAATGCTAGATGACCCCCCAAGATTTCAAAATAGCTACATAACCCCCTTATATTTTTATGTAAAGTGAAAAATGGACAGAATGCACAATCAATTACGGCATTTATATCAAATGCGCTCTAAAAGCGTGTGTGATAAAATATTAATTTTCGTGTTACCTGTTTATGATTGTATAAATATTCACTTTACTCTCACTGTGATTTTTGTATTTGTCTACATAATACTCCTATATTTTTATACAAGGCAATTAAGTCGTTAATTGATTAACATTTAGGTAAGAGCACTATTGGTATTTTAATTAACGACGTTAAATAGGTTAATTTTCGTCAAATTTTCACTTTCTATAAAACTATAAAGTGGTGAAGTGGAGATTTTGAGAGTCATGTGGTTATAGACGAAACTATGGGGGGTTATATGTAATTCACCCAACAATTAAGTATCATCCATCAAATTATTTCCGCTTGAACTTTTCTTTTATTTTTATTATTTTTTTGGTTTTCAATATCTTTTAGTCTCCAAATCCTAATATCAATGTTTTGTCAGAAGATTAAATTAATGATTTCGGGTGACATATCAATTGCATTCTCTAGCATATTTCGGGTTTTTTTTTTTTTTTTTTTTGTTTCTGTCCCCACCTATTCTGGATGAAAAATACAAAAGAAAAGTTTAAAGTAATTATATCTGGAAACGTCGTCCTGATTTCTTACGTACTCCTTTACTGGCAGACCTTTCTGGTCGATGCATTTACGGAATTTATTCATATTTTCTTTTCTTGGATGAAGAAAAAAATAAAAAAAGGTATACAACTTGTTGGGGGATTCGGTTAATTCAGAAAACCAGATTCATGTTTTTTTAACAAAGGAATGGAGAAATCCTTCAATCAGAAAACCATACTCATGAGGGAAAATACGTTTGACAAAAATTAGCTCATGAATCTCCAGGTGCATGCTACACATCGATCGCGCTCAATTTCTGTGAGGTTCACCAACCCGCATGAACCATCGATTATTAAATTTGAGGGGGAACTGAGTTGTCATCAAACGATACGTCAAAGACATTTTGGTATACTTGGAATACACGTACGTAGTTAATCAGCAATCTAGCGTATGAACGAGCAATTAGACATTGTAGGTTGAACCACTATTATTCGTTTTTTCTTTGGCGGCGTCAAGACATTTTCAGAGATTTATGCATGGTTGAGAAGTTGAACTAACTGACAATGAGACAACTTCCCCACCAGCCAAAGCGAAATAACCTTCCTGCTTTCCACCTCTCGCATCTATATAAGCACAATACAGATAGATTCTTCCATGCACTCGCAAACAAAACAAAAAAGTGTGTTCGATCTACCTTCTAAATCATCAATATTTGCTTAATCCCTTCCAAGGATGGCTAGTTTCGACCGTGCATCTCTTGTTTTCGCCATGCTTATTGCTGTATCATCCATGAGCAGCAACTGTTTCCAAGCTGAAGCGCGTCGCCTTCTTGATACAGGGTTGCCTGAGATTCCTACCTTGCCAAAGCCTGAGATACCAACACTGCCTAAACCTGAGCTGCCAACCGTGCCAAAGCTTGAGATTCCCACGCTGCCCAAACCCGAGCTGCCAACCGTTCCAAAGCCTGAGGTTCCAGAATTGCCAAAACCTGAGCTGCCAACCGTTCCAAAGCATGAGATTCCAGAATTGCCAAAACCTGAGCTGCCAAATGTGCCGAAGCCAGAGATTCCAACATTGCCTAAACCCGAGCTACCAACTTTGCCCAAGCCAGAGGTGCCTAAAAAGCCTGAGACCACCACTCCATGAAGTCTGTTCTAGCCCAGCTGGATACACTAGTTATTAGTATTATTATTAGTGTTATTATTATTCATTAGCACTTTTCTTCTGAATTGATATTTCCATTGCGTTTGATATGTGTTGTATACCGTGATGTCACGGTTCATTCATCTGTAGCTGTTGTTGTATCGGAGTCTCACTTCTTGTTTCCAGTGGGATTACATATTTGTACTTTCTTAATTACGTACTTCTCAGTTAAACAACAATTAATGTCTAATAACTCCATTTTGCCTAATTATTGACCATAGAATGAAGCAGTACTTCCAAGAACCAGAAGAATAATAGCATTAAAACATAAAGTGAAGATGACTCCTATATTTTTATACAAGGCAATTAAGTCATTAATTGATTAGCATTTAGGTAAGAACACTATTGACATTTTAATTAACGATGTTACATAGGTTAACTTTCGTCAAATTTTCACTTTATATAAAACTATAAGGTGGTGAAGTGGAGATTTTGAGAGTCATGTGGTAATAAATGAAACTATGGGGGGTTATATGTAATTCACTCAACAATTAAGTATCATTCATCAAATTATTTCCGGTTGAACTTTTCTTTTATTTTTAATTATATTTTTGGTTTTCAATACCTTTTAATCTCCAAATCCTAATGTCAATGTTTTGTCAGAAGATTAAATTAATGATTTCGGGTGACATATCAATTTTACTCTCTTGCATATTTTGGTGTTTTTTTTTCTCTCGTGTTTCTGTCCCCACCTATTCCGGATGAAAAATACAAAAGAAAAGTTTAAAGTAATTATATCTGGAAACGTCGTCCTGATTTCTCACGTACTCCTTTACTGGCAGACCTTTCTGGTCGATGCATTTACGGAATTTATTCATATTTTCTTTTCTTTGACGGAGAACAAAAATACAAAAAAGTATACCAACTTGTTGGGGGATTCGGTTAATTCATGCACGATTTGCCCACTAGGCCTAGATGCTGAATGTATTCATAGATCTAGACTTCACACTGTCAACTAGCATTTCTGACTCATTATACCCCAATATGCCTAATTCTGTCACCTTCTCCAATTTTTGATGTTAAATTGATACTAAAATTCTTGGACAAAGTTAGATTTCGGATTGAAGACTCATGGCACAAGAAAAAGATTAGGCCAACCTTAACAAGTAATGTTTTTGATTGTTTAATGAAACTTGTGAGTGTTTTGCCTTTGATTGTGCTAACAAGACTTGTCCAGCCTGGAAACAAATTGAAATAAACCTTTCAAAATTCAGAATCTCCTCGATTCCCAAAAATTACAGGGCATTTCTTCTTCGACCATGATCAGTGCAAAGGTGGGATACTCTGCTCATTCTTGAAGAAATTATAAGGATCAACCTTGGTTTTCACTTCTACCAGTCTATCAAAATTGTTCTTGAAATATGGAGCACCCCAGATCCTTGCTTTTTCAACACAAGTTTTACCTTTATTATTCACCCCCAAATCAAGGTCGCGATTGTTAGCATAGGCAGCTCTTGGATTGTTGGGAACATATTTTCCAATAACCTTGTAAAGCTTTTTGATCCAATCTATACGCTGTTTAGACACCACTTCTTGATTTGTTGCGTTCCACAAAACCTCTACAAATATGAGGTACAAATTTCCTCTATGTGGGAATGGAGTTGCTGATTCCGGTGTTGTATCCATTACACCTCCTCCAAAATAACTCCATTCCATTATTGCCATAGAAGGAGGTAATTCATTAAGCTTTTCTAATATCTCTTCAAGCCCTTTTTCAGGGATAGGCTCTTTGGCGAAATCAGATTTATCTTTGGAATAAAGTTTAGCTCGAGAGCCTCTCCTGGTCAAGAACTCTTTAACGTCACCAATTGGTTGACCATTGTGAAAGGCTATATATTGGATCCAAAGCATTTCACTGCAGTCCTCTTTCTTCAACCCCAACTCGGGAAATTGTTGGTTCATGATTGAAAATAATTCATCAACTTTACCAAGGAAAACAGACACAAATCTAACTAGCACAGTTCTCTTACCTGTTTGATCGGAATTGATATTGACAAATTGGAGTGTGATAGTAAGGTCCAGTGGTAACTTTGAGGCAATATACTGCCACTTGTATACAAGTTGGCTTGCATTTTGTTCCAAGGTTGCATTTTGTTCCAAGGTTCTGGTGATGGAAAACGCAGTAACTTTCTCTGGAATTTCGACCAATTTCAACTTGTATCCAAGAATGACTGCAAAGTTTGCACCGCCTCCACCTCTTATAGCCCAAAAGAGATCCTCACCCATGCTCTTTCTATCGAGAACTTTTCCGTTTGCATCGATGATCCGAGCATCGATGACATTGTCCGCAGCAAGGCCAAATTGCCTTGTCAATGGACCGTAGCCTCCGCCACTGACGTGCCCACCAATGCCGACAGTTGGACATGTACCAGCCGGAAACCCCAGAGAGCTATTTGCCTCGTGAATGCTGTAGTATAGTTCACCAAGGGTTGCTCCAGCTCCAACCCAGGCGGTTAGACTTTTAGCGTCTACCGAGATTGAACGGAAGTTGGACATGTCTAGGACAAAAAATGGGACGTCAGAAATGAAGGATCTGCCCTCAAGGTCATGGCCACCGCTTCGAATTCTCATCTGTAAGCGGTGCTTCTTAGAGCAAAATATTGCTGCTTGAATCTGATTTTCAGTCAAAGCTGTGATAATGACTTGGGGCTTAGGAATTTCTGGTGAAAGGAAGCGTAAGTTTTGGATGTAGGAGTCCAAAACCGACATGAAAGAAGAGTTGTTTTGGGTGTAAATTGCTTTTGAGAAATCAGAGGGGCTATCAGTATAATTTAGAAGGCATTGAACAAATTCTTCGTGGTGAGGATGAGATGCAGAATCCCACCAGATGGCAATGAGGAGGAGGAAAGCAAATTGAAGCAGTGTTGAATAGGATATTTTCATCCTTTTTGGGTAATATGCAATTTTGAAACAATCATGATCAGTAGCTTATTTATAGGGTCTCTTGAATTGCAACGGATCTTCTGTTCCACACTCTGTGCCACTCTCTGTCCCACTTTTTATTATATTGCTATTTCTCTTTCACAAACATCATGTTTTAATTCTTTTTTATTTTCTTAAGATCCAATAACTATTAATTGAGTAATACACAAAATTTAACAAACTCAAAAAATCAAAATGCATAAAAAATGAGATTTTTTATGAATTTTCTGCTGTATTTTTTAATTTTCTATTATATATTAGTTTTTTGAAGCTGTTGTATTTATTTTTTACTCAATTAATAGTTATTGGATCATAAGGAAATAAAAAAGAATTAAAACATGATGTTTGTGAAGGAGAAATAGCAATATAATAAAAAGTGGGACAGAGAGTGGCACAGGATGTGGGACAGAAGATCCGTTGCGCTCTTGAATGATTTCACTTCAATTATTGCGTTGTATTAAAAATAAAATTTAACCAAATAAAAAAAGCAAGAATGAAAAGTCGATTCACTCCTAACTTGATGGCTCCTCTCCTGTGTACATTGGCAGAAAATTTTAAGACAATTAAATGTCAACATTTATGGTTGAAACTTGATTATTTTCTTGTCACAGAATAAACAAGAATAGTAAATTGGGAAGTGGGTAATAAAAAATCCCAAACTATAGTTTGTAAAAATTTTTAATTTTATTATCTCTTTATGTAATAGAATTGAAAGTTGGTTGTAGTATCACACTTCTTTAAAGCACTAATTGATGAGTACAGTTGGGAAGGGGCTATGAATGCTCAAGAAATACAATTGGCAATATGAATCAAAATTTTGAGAATTTTAGAATTTCAGTACATTTTCCACCCTTCCACAAGGCAATTTCGTGATTTCTCTTTCTTTTCTGTGTGACCAAACTCTTGGCATTAAATGCCATATTTTGCTGGTTTCTTCTTCTCACGCTGCTGGAATTGCCTATAAATAGAGGCAGAAGGAAAGGCCACCATGACAATGCACCACAAGAGGCCAACTTGAAAATTGAGAGTTCAAGTCAGGAAAGCTTGCCTTCTGTATAATCTTGAGTTTATCTTTTGTTTGTCTCTATTTGTTTTGGGGCTTTAGAAACCTTTTCCTTGGCTTCGTAATATTCTTCATAATAGTAAAATTTATTCTCGTCTGTCCACGAACGTAGGTCTAATTGACCATACCATACAAATCTTTTTTTTTTTTGTCTTTTATTCTTTTTTTCTCTATATTTTAGTTTAGCTTTCATTATTTTTTTAAATTAACTTTTGCTAATTACCTGAGATCAGATCCTAACACACACTAATAGAGAAAATCAAACAGCACACACTAATATAGAAAATCAAACAGACCTGTACAGAGCACATGACACATTAAGAAAATTTTCACCGAATAGTATGATGTTCAAGGACTAAGAGCAAAAGTCTAGAGTAGCAATGGAAGTGGAAAATCCACAACCGTTAATTAATACTCCCTCCATCCCATAAAATTTGTCATTTTTGGAAGAACGTGCAATTTATGGACAGTGATATTAGCAAGAAAGAGAACTTTTCTTTTTCTATTATATTCTTAGTGGCAGACCATCTTTTATTTGATGTATTGATAATTGTGGGGAATAAGTAGTGAGTCAGCTGATAAGTAAAGATAAAATTTCATTGAAAAAGTTGAATTGATTTTTCTAAGATAACAATTAATTTAAGACAAGAAAAAGTGGCAAACATAACAAATTTTATGGGACAGATGAAGTACTATTTATTTTGCGTCTATTTGGCGATGCGGTGCTTTCATCATATTGTAAAGCTGAAGGTAGAGTGCTTTTTGGTCTCAAAAACACTTTTTAGCACAAATTTAAAATTGGAGTTCTCAAAATAAGCAAAGAGAATTCTTAAGCACGATGACTGAGACAGCTGTAGGCATTTTTGCGTGCATACGAAGTGCTACTAGCTAGTTGGCTAATGCACAAGTAGGGGTGGAGCTGATTCAATCTACTCGACTCGAGCTCGATATGTACTCGATCAGAAGCTCGAGCTCGAACTCGCTTCATCGAGCTCGAGCTCGATCTCGAGCTGCTTCATCGAGCTCGAGCTCGATCTTGAGCTGCTCGTTAGAGCTATCGAGTCGAGTTCGAGCTCAGAAATTTGATACTCGAGAGCTCTATCGAGTATCACATAAAAAATTTTAAAAAAAAATTATATAAAAATTACTAATATAGGTAAATAAATT